CGAATACACAGGTCACAGGTTCAATTCCCGGGGTCTACACAGATACTGTACATGGGTAGGGTGAGGTCTAGGGATCGAACCCTGGGTACTGCATCTGCTACTGCTAAAAGGTGAAAACCGTTTCACAGAGTAAAAGGGTAATTATATTTGTCTGTTCTCTCAACGACGCTCATTCATATGTGTTTACTAGTAGTACACTTGTATAGTACATTAGTAGTACACAAGGGGGCGTACACAACGGGGAGGAGGAAACAAAAGAAAGAAAGAAAGAAAGAAAAAGAGAGAGAGAGAGAGAGAGAGAGAGAGAGAGAGAGAGAGAGAGAGAGAGAGAGAGAGAGAGAGAGAGAGAGATCAATAGATTCTCTATGCAGACTGTTGGAGCAGACGGCTGTAGAATGACACGAGAAGTCAATCAGTGTTCGGGTTGCGGGATGAGGAGTAGGTGTTGCCTATGGTAGGTGACCACTCCTGCAGACCGGACAGCACCGATTCGGGTGCGGACTGTGGAAACATCGCATCCAATTCTCACAGTTGCATTCGCTGCACCGAATGGCACGACGTAGACAGATATCGCAGGCAACATGGCTCCCACAGGCAAGGAACACAGAGGCACGCCCGCCGCAATTGTGGAGGCATTGCCGTTTGAGTCCTTGTCTACAAATTGGACATGACATGTCAGTGTGCCGAACATAAGTGCAATATTGACTGTCATCATACGTATGAAAACAGAAAGACGCACGGGCTGTGCCGTCATAATCCTCATGACGCAATGCATGCAGCCCACATGCTAGCCGAATCTCAGGTGGATCATCACAGAACGGCATTGAGCAAGTGTTTTGGGGTTTCCTCAGCATTGATTCCTTCTCTATGGACCGACGACGACGACGAGTGTGGCAAGAGGGGGTCATCCAAAACAAGGGTGTCCAGCTGCTGCAGGATTTGTTCTGCAACAGTTCGTCCTGGTTGTGTTAACCCTTCAGCACAGTGCTCTACAAACGGCTCATGTGGTTCTCTATTTTCCTGCTCAGGCTGTTGAGTTTGCTGTTCGCCGGGCAAGAGAGAAGGAGATCCGATGGCATTTGCAGTAATTGTATGCCCAACTCTGCATGTGGGACATGCTAAGAGAGGATGTGGTGGATGATGCCATGGATAGTCCATGCAGTAGAGGCACATGCTTTCTCTGACAGCTTCCTGGAAACATTGATGAGACATGGCATGTTGCTGACATGTCAGCAGGAAGGCAGGTCGACATTCGCATCTATGTAAGCATGGCAGATTAAGGCCACGATGGCATACAGGTTGACCTCGCAGCTATTTAAGCATGGCAGATTAAGGCCGCGGCGGCATATTGGGCAGGCGATTAGGGGGTGGGGGGGATGAACACAAGACAAAAGAGTTGCAGTTTCCGCGACAGAGGCTGGCAGTGACCATCCCTTCATAGTTTTCGGAGTAGAGACTATGCACTGTGCATGCTAACCGAACTGTGGCTGTGTGGCCACAGAATGGAAGGGCACAGCCAACATCTTCTAAGGAGGTTCTTTCATTGTCTGGAGCAGAATCTTCCCGATCTACACAGGGAGGGGACACTGCTTGGTCATGTGCAGGGGAAGGAGGTAATTGCGCATCCGGATTGCTCTCCAGAGACTGAAGCGCTTGCGGGTGCGGGGTAACATATTGTTCCTGAAGGACGATCCAAATTGAGTGAGTATTTGTTGTAGATTTGCACCACAGCAGCCCCTCTTCCACCCAGATGAGTAGATCCAAAATCAAAGCAAACTTTAACTCTGCTGCAGACAATGAAGCACACTTGAGATCAGCCAATCCAGCAATGAAACAGTTTTACCTCTATAGCAGAGATCCATTATTTCCCTTTCTTAAGTATCTTTACTTAGTTCTCTTTGGGGTACCTCTTCTATTTGTTCTTGCAGCTCCCTTTTTACTGTGCCTCTCATGCACAAGGTTGGCCAAATCCACTGTGGTTGAGCGCCAGCTGCCCACATCCCCGTGTGCCTTGATGCCACACTTGCACGTTATGAAAGGAGGCAGAGTAAAGGGGGAAGTATACTTCTGTTCATTTTCCTTCCAATGTTCAGATTATATTTTGTCGGTTCTCAAAATGATGCTCATCCGTATGCACTTACTAGTGGTACGCAAGGGGAGGGAAGAAGAAAAGGGTAGGATACACTATTCTACAGGAAGCGAAGGGCAGGGAAGGGAGAAGGGGTAGAGGAGAGAAATAGAGGGGCAAAGAACTTCAGACGGTCCTCAGTACTCACTGCTGGAGCAGACATCTAAGAGAATGGCACAAAAGGCCAGTCAGTGTTTGGGTTGCAGGAGATCTTGAGTTGAAGAGCAGCCGTTGCCTATAGTGAGTGGCCACCTCTATAGACTAGACGGACCGGTTTGGGTGTGGCATGTGGAAGCACCACATCCGATTCTTGGAGTTGCAGCTGCTGCACCGAATAGCATGAGGTAGACAGATGTCGCAGGCTATGTGGTTCCTGCATGCTAGGAACACAGGCATGCCGACCGCGATTGTATAGGCATTGTCGTTCCAGCCCCCGTCAACAAATTGGACATGACATGTCAGGGTGTCGTAACATGAGTGCAAGGTTGACTCTCATCATATGTATGAAAAGAAAAACTTCCATGGGCTATGCCTTCATAATCCCCACGACACAAGGCATGCAAATTATATGCAGTCGAACCTCGGGTGGGCCATCACAGAGTGGCACTGAGCGAATTTCTTCGGTATCTGCAGTCATTATTCCCTCTATATGGCCAGAAGACGACGGGGACTGATACAAAGTAAGGGTGTTTAGCTGTTGCAAGATTTGGTCTGCAATAGCTCGCCCTGGGGGTGATAACCTTTCAGTACAGCGCTCTGGAGGTGGTTCATACGATTGTTTATTTCCCTCCTCAAGCTGCTGTGTCGGTCGGTTTCCCGTCCAGGAAGGATGAAGGAGATCCGACTGCGGTTGCAGCAGGTGTATGCCCAACACTGCATGTGGGACATGCTAGGAGAGGATGTGGCAGGTGATGGCATCGGGGATAGTCCACACAGTAGAGAATACTTAATATGACAGCTTCCTGCAAACATTGACGACACATGGCATGTTGCTCACATGACAGCAGGAAAGCAGACTGACGTTCGCAGCTATTTTTAAGCATGGCATGTCAGGGCCACAACGGCATGCTGTGTTTTGAATTATGTGTGTGTTTCTGTATCGTGCGTGTTGTCATGTCCGCTATACACAACTTCGTAAACAAAGCATGACTGTGCCAGACATTTCATCGGACTTTTGACCGACTCATCGGGAGGTTGAGCACAGGCAGTCTGCCCAGGATGGATTTGACTGGTAGAAAACGACTCACCACGTCGCCCAGAGAAAGCGATACTCTTCGGACCAGCGGTCGACTTCACTCACACCAACCCTGCAACCCTACCGTCTTCACCCGAATAGAACACCCGGTAATTATTGCCGTATCTGGGCTGAAAGTTGTGCCAAATACAGCTATAATGACCAGGCATTATATTCAAGTGAAGATGGTAGCCGACTGTCATTCCATAATCCTGACAAGAATGGCTGAAAGTCCAAGAACCTTGTCTGTTACGGTCATAAGACCCACTCTTCAGTTCCGGTCAGCCAGGAATATCCACGAGCATGTGAGTGCGCACATGTATGTGCGTTCACAGGTTTTCTTCTCCTCCCYCCCCCCCCCCCCCCCCCCCCCCCGCTCTCTGTGCAGGTCAACTCTTGGGTACAACACTCCCAACCACTGCAAATTGGAAGCTCTGTTCTCTTTCTTGTCTTTCTACCTAACTTTTCCATCAGCTCTCTGAAGAATCCGAGCACAGATTAGATTTAGGGGTAGAAGAGAAATGCTGGGTGCACACCTCCACATATGGAATACATCAGCAGGACTGACCTGCAGTTTTCAGTCAGGTAGGGTTCAGCCATACCGCTCTGCACGTCGGCCTCATTTGACCCTAAACCTTCAAGCCAATCTGCTACTGTTAAGTAGATTGTGTTGATGAACTCCTCACGTAGGGTGTTTGACGTATGCCTGCCGTCTTCACCCGAATAAGACGCCTGGGCATTATCGATGTATCTGCACTGAAAGTTGTCCCAAATACAGTGATAATGACCGCCTATTCTGGTGAAGACAGTAGTTCTCCCCCACTTTGCCCCTGCACCCAAGGTTTTTTTTTTTTTTTTTTTTGCCCCCTGTATCATTCCAATTTTATATGTCCCGACCAAGTTATTGATGGATTCGCACCTCATTCGCATGTCGGAAAAGTGTACCATCTCGGGGTTCTTCCACTGCGACCTTATAGCGCAGAATCCGATCCCATACTGTCGTGGATAAAGCTGCTGAGCCGCTGGACTTTCATCAGAAACATGGTCACACAGACACACACAGCCAAACCAAAACATTTCCTTGCGAGAATGAGAAGTCAATAAGCAATGTCCTTTGCGCGACATCCGTTAAAATTAGAACGATATTTGCATGGCCCCTGTGCAAGGGTACATGAATAAATCGAGAAATGGTCCATTTAAGGGAAGGGGGGGGGGAGGAGGAAGAAGGGAGGGGGGGAAAAATAGAAAAAGAAGAGAGAAGTAAATAAGCAAGGTGAGGGGAACACTGGAACAATGTACAGCATTGATTTCAAACTTTAAGTCTGTTTCTTGGGCTGGGGCGGTAGCACTACAGGGAAAAGGGGGTTGTGACAAAAGACGTGGGCTTACCGGTAAATTACACACACACACACACACACACACACACACACACAGAGAGAGAGAGAGAGAGAGAGAGAGAGAGAGAGAGAGAGAGAGAGAGAGAGAGAGAGNAGAGAGAGAGAGAGAGAGAGAGAGAGAGAGAGAGAGAGAGAGAGAGAGAGAGAGAGAGAGAGAGAGGCCATGGCCTGCAACCTTCACATTTTCTCTGAGTCTCCCATCTTCTTGAGGGCTCGCATCCTGGTGTCAGAGTGTTGCTTGGGATCAAGGTCATACTTTGTCTTACTACCATAGTACTCCGTTTGCCAAATGGGAAGAACAAATCAGACTTCGAAGCCCGAGTACTCTTGCTATCCCGCGTTGCACATAAGATTGAAGACAACCAGATCACAATCCATTGAGAACTTCAATCCACTGTCTGTCTAAGTTTGCTTGATGATTCTCTTGCACATACATGCAAGTTAGCTGCACAGCAGAAGGGAAGGGTATTAAACCACCAGTACCTACCGCTATGGCCCGTCGTTAACGCGCTCGGATGAATGGGCCTGCCGCGCAGGGCTATATACATTTCAAAGTTCAAACGGCTAGCTTGGCTCTACGTTAACCCTCCTTGAAAAGCGATAGGTACTGGTGGTTTAAGAGGACCCTCACACAAAGAGACAAATGACCCAGAACATCTCTGGAGAGGAGTACATGAAACTTGGATCACTGTGTTTTTTTTTTGTTTTTTTTTTCCCCCCGAAGGGTAGCGGCCTTGAGATATCATCTTCGACCTGACCCGGCCCAGGTTAGTTCGGAGTTACTTAAACTCATTTTGCTCAACTGATACCAACTGAATTCAAACTGACGGTTGTAATTCAGCAATTACATGGGTGTACCAACTTAGCTAGGCCAGTTGTTCACTTTGGATCACTGGTAGCTTTCCACTAACCTTTGTCTTTTGCTAAACTGATTCCATCTGGATTCGAACTGAGATCTGTAATTCGGCAGTTACATGGGTGTACCGACTTAGGGCATACTCACACTGGGACCTATACCCCCAAATTCCCCCCCAAAAAGGTAGATGTGGCATACTGCGCATCCACACGGGCCTGCAGGGCCCGACCAGACGGAAAATAAGGGCCCTCCAGGCCCTGTGTCTTTTCAGCCTAAAAGCCTGAGAACGAGGGCCATTTTCAGGCCCTCATAAAGTCGACCTGTCCTGAAACTCAGGCGCCAGACCAGGGTTTAGCACATGCCATTTTTGGGCCTGTTTCAAGACAACCTTTGTTTGAACTTCAACGCCAGGGTCGCACATTTCGGCATTGGCAAGAGCAGCCTCCCCGACGGGCCAGCACTATATAGTACTGGCGCTCCCTGAAGGCTGCAGGTAGTTCATAGGGACTTCCCAGGCAGTTGTTACATGCCCAGTTGGGCGATGTTCATAATAACCGAGGATCCGCAATGCGATGAAAAGGACTGAATGGACAATGCAGTCCAAGTGAAATCTCAACAAGCAGTGTACATTCAGATACATACAAAATGGTGCTTTACAGCGCAATGCAAGACTTAGATAGATACAAGTCCTGACCTGACCGGGACTGACCTCTCTCACGTAGTACAAGATAGCGCAGCAGAATACTAGAATACTAATGACTAACCCAATCAATGTTACAACGCAGACCAAACATACATCATTCTCACCACACGGTGTGAAGGGAGCCTGGCGCTATACACAGGAAGAGGCGCCCGGTCCATTTCATGCACAGACGAAGAGGAGAGGATCAGATGGAGGAGGGGAGAGATGGGAAAGTCGTCAACACCAAGTCTCGTTACAAGTCCCAAATAATCCCTCGTCAAAATGTCTGCAGTCGAATGTCGAGTCTGGATCCAAATGTCACCAAGCTCTCTCTCTCTCTCTCTCTCTCTCTCTCTCTCTCTCTCTCTCTCTCTCTCTCTCATAGTCTGTTGCTGCAGTGAAGTCAGATATCGAGAGGGTGAGAGGGAGATGGTGGACTGAGAAGAGGAAGAAGAAGAACTCTCTCTCTCTCTCATATGCCAGGTACTAACCTGTGAAGATGGCGCTGTGCTGCAGGTACCTCGAAGACGAAGCTGGAGCGATGGCGCTGCAGGTAAGTCCCTCTGGCCTCTCTCTCTATGGTACTACTCTAGCTATGGCTCCCAGCGCTGAAGACTACTGCTAACGCTACAAAGCGCCCAGCGCTGAAGACTACTGCTAGCGCTAATACTACTCCTGCAGTGCTCCTCCAGAGTGCTGCTGCCGAATCCTGAAGACTACCTCCTGCCTCCTGAAGTGCACGTGAAGTGCCTGGGAAGTACCTAGGAACTACCTGCCGGCCTGCAGGGAGGGCCAGTCCTATATAGTGCTGGCCCGTCCAGGAGGCTGCTCTTGCCAATGCCTCAACGTGCCAGACCCTGGGGTTGAAGCTCAAACAAAATAGGCCAGAAATGGCCTGAGCTAAAACCCTGGTCTGGTGCCTGAGTTTCAGGGCAGGCCGAACTCATGAGGGCCTGGAAATGGCCCTCAGTTTCAGGCTGAAAACACTCAGGGCTGGAAAGGCCCTGATTTAGCCTGAAACGACACAGGGCCTGTAGGCCCTTGTTTTCAGGCTTTTGGCCTGGCCTGGAAATGGCATGTGCAGCCTGTTGCCGGCGCAGCATGTAACACAGTTCACAGGCACTTCACTTGCGTTCAGGAGGCAGTCTTCAGGAGTTGGCCGCAGCACTCTGGAGGAGCGTTGCAGTAGTAGTAGTAGCTAGCGCTAGAGTAGTCTTCAGCGCTGGGCGCTGCTAGGAGGTAGAGTAGCATTGGGAGAGAGAGAAGGGCGGAGACCAGGGAGACTCACCTGTGGCGCCATAGCTCCAGTTTTGTCTTCGATGTACCTGCAACAAGGCGCCGCCTTCACAGGTTAGTACTAGGTACAAGAGGGAGAGAGAGAGAGTTCTTCTTCTTCCTCCTCTAAGTCCACCATCTCTCCCTCGCCCTCTCGCCACCTGACTTCTCGGTATCTGCAGACTACAAGAGAGAGAGAGAGAGAGAGATTGGTGACTTTGGGACTTGACGACATTTGGATTCAGACTCGACATTGGGATTGAGACATTGGACGAGGGATTATTTGGGCCCTATATCGAAGACTTGGTGTTGATGACATTCCCATCTTCCCCCTCTTCTTCGTCTGATCCCCCCCCCTCTTCGTCTGTGTATGTTTTGGGACTGGCACGTTCTTCCTGTGTGAGCGCCAGCCCCCTTCACACCATGCGATGACGATGATGTATGTTTGGTCTGCATTGTGACATTGATTGGACTGATCATCGGTATTTTAGCCTTCCACTACGCTATCCTGTACTATGTGAGAGAGGTCGGTTCTTGTTCTGGTCTGTACTGTTACGGTATGCAACAGTAGAGGACCAGTCACACAGATTTGCCGAAGTCCTAAATGTACCATTAGTGTGCCCATTTGTCAGCGGCCTGTGTAGCCGCGGGGCAAGGGAATATGCGGTCACATCTGGAGGTGACCACAAATGCCCTATTTATTTTTTTGCATTTTCTTCGAGAATTGGTGAACATTCGTTCACGAAAGTTCTTGCACAATTTGTGGATGGCCCCGGGTGACCAGCAAAGTACCAAATCGCCATTGCTCCAGACGGCCAGAGCCTTGTCCCATCTGAAAAGGTACAGCAGTGCAACCGGAACCATGCCCAAAACCTCAAATCGCCCCTTTCCACATATTTTGCGGATTTGGGGTCGCAGTGTGAGTATGCCCTCAGATGAGCCAGTTTGTTGCTTTGGATCACCAGTAGCTTTCCACTCCCCATTGTTTTTTGCTCAACTGATTCCATCTGGATTCAAACTGAGGTCTGTAATTTGGCAATCACATTGGTGTACCGACTTAGCTAAGGCCAGTTGGTTACTTTGGATCACTGGTAGCTTTCTACTCACCATTGTTTTTCTGCTCAACTGATTCCATCTGGATTCGAAGTGATGTTTGTAATTCAGCGGGTATCGGAGAAGGCACAAACAGAGTTGAACAACAACGAGCAATCGAATGTGCCCAGGATTCTGCCTCTCTCACAGTCTTGAGCTTGCAGCAGACCCAACACCAGGGTACACCCCCTATCGAGTACCAACAAGGCCAGCTGACAGTCCATCCTCCATGAAGGTGGAGCAATCAATGCTGTTCAGGGGTCCTTCGGCTAGCCCGTAGGGAGCGTGCGTGCATATATTGTTGTATTCTCTTGACTTACCGGTCGCGAAGGAACCGGACTGTCGCTCCTCAGAATGAGTATGGCGCCAGGACCATAAGGCCCTGTTTAAGAAAAAAATAAAAATGCAGCATTTAATGGGTGTACAAACTTAGCAACGCTAGTTGGTTACTTTGGATCACTGGTTGCTTTCTACTCACCATTGTTTTCTATGCTTGAAGACAAATGGCCCACTTTTCCAGACCTCCGGCGATCAATTGGCCTAGCTAAGTTGGTGGACCCAAACTGCTAAATTACAGACCTCGGTTCGAATCATGGTCACGATCCATCCGGACCGCAGCGCAGATGGTCTGGGTCTGGATGTACGGATCTGGTGTCCAGATCCATCCCCCCACCACCAAACACGTCCGGATTCAGGAATTCAATCCAATCCACTTTGCTAGTGGGACCAGGCCATAAGTCTTCTGAGAAGTTCTGACCTACCAGCATCCACAGTTATTCGACAACCGATTCAAAGAACGGTTTGTGGCGACCGGAGACACCGTGGCAACCTGTTGAATGTGGCTTGCATCTAAGCACTGCTCAGCATAGCATAGACTTAAAAAAAAATAAAAAAAAAAATAAAAAATAAAAAAGATCTGGAGAAAATATTTGTTCTGCAGAATTGCAATACAAAAATCTTCTGGCTGAGGACCGTATCGGAATTCGTAGCCAAATCCAAGGGGGTGGGGGGGGGGAGGAAGTTTTTCTAACTTTTTTCCTTTTTTTTGAACTTTTTTTTTCTCTTCTTTCAATCCGTCCGAACTGAGGCAATGCTTCAGGATTCGCTCCGCCTTAAAGCCTTGCTTCCTATTGTCATTGCCATTGTAGCACGTGTGTAGCCCAGCCCATAAGCGCCATGCGGACTTGACGTCATCCCCACCTTCCTCAAGTATATCACTGGCAGTTTTTTGTGAGTGCAGCACATCGTTGCGATGTCTTAGCAACACAAAACGGACGGTTCCGAGCAGTCCAGACACAGGTCCGGCCGGACATCTGGACTGGTCCGGCGTCCGGGTCCGGCGTAACCATGGTTCTAATCCAGATGAAATCCAGACGGAATCGACTGGCCTACTCACCATTGTTTTCCATGCTTTAATACAAGTTGTCAAGAAACTGTACGATGGAAAAAACACGAGCAATCCATCCGGAACAATTCTTGCCCAGTTCACTGCACCAAGACGCCACAAACATTTTGTCAGAAGAAGTTCAAGAAATCCATTGAATGATCATCAAATTGGCTGAAACCACATGGCGTAACCATCAGCAGATTCCGTACTACTCAGTCACAGACTTGCGCATCACGTACTACTCATTAGAGCTTCTTACACACACCCTACTCATTGCTGAGCGACAAATTGCCTAGTCATTACAGCTCTAGAGTCTAGACATGACCAACTCATTACAGGGTAATACAGCTAGAAATTGCTTATAGTCGTTGCAGACCTATACATTACCTACTCATAACAGTGTTACACATTCCCTACCGATTACAGAACGGGAAACTACACGGGAGTCACAAGAAGAGTTTGAAAATACACATTGGGCAAAAAACAGTTTCAAAATGCACTTCGGGCAATGTATACAACCTAGCTTTCCGATCAGGTAGGGTTGCGTGGGGGTGTGTTATGTTCGGGGGAATGCCTGAAGTGTAATTTGAAACTGTGTTTGTGACTGTACTGAAGTTAGCCCCATTACAGAATTGGTAAATTACACACTAAAAATTAGCGTGTGAGGCCTTTCATTCCACACAGAGTCTCTCATGCATTGTGGTAGTTGCCACACACAGCAACAAGTATCACACCTTGTAGTTAGTGCTTCTTACACACTACCTCCTCATTGCTGAGTTACAAATGACTTAGTCATTACAGAGCTACACAATACTTACTCATTACAGTGTTACACATTACCTACTGATTACAGGATTACAAACTAGATTAGCAAGCGAGGCCTTTCACACAGTTATCTTCTGCATTGTCGTAGTTTGACACACAGCAACAGGCACAAGCATCCACCCTTGCAGAGTACGGACCCATTAAACCACCACTGCCTCCAGGCCTCTCTTTGCCGACGCGGAGAAGACCTGCACGCCAAGCTTTGTCAAAGCGCCAGCGCGATTTTTTTTTTTTTTTTTTGGAAAATTTTTGGCTGGCGCCACCAGCCATTTTGGTCCAGTGGAACTGGCCACCGCAAGAATGCCGTTTGTGGCACTTTGTGCCAAATTTGTGGGAAATTGGGGTTTCAAGTTTGTGAGCGCAGTGCAAGGTAGTGGTGGTTTAAAGTGCTCAGCACTGTCATGGGGACAAGAAAATCCCCCCCCCCCCCCCCCCCCATTCGCCCATGGGAGTAAGGGTTAATAAGGAGGCTGCTATAGTCATAAGGAAGGTGTCGTAAGTCGTTGAGTAATCAAAGGATTATGATGGGGACAACAATAGCGTGCACAAGTGGTTAACGGGAGCACTTTCAGCTCCTGACTAACGGGTCCAAAACTGAAATTAGGGTTTGGGGCCTTTGGGCCCTTTGGGGGTCAAATTTTATGTTTTTTTTTTTTTTTTTCTTTGCCTGTTTGAGGAGGAACGGGAAAGATGTGGAAAAAAATCCCGAGCTACGAAAAGGGACGACCGAGTCGCAGGAGTGCTCACCTGGATGTTTGCTGATTGTCTGATTCGGCAAATTGCAGGAGCCACAAAGAAAGAGTGACCAAAAAAAAAAAAAAAAATCTCGCTGCAGTCATCGATGCGAGATTCCAGTGCCATAGTTCTACTTTTCCAACAACAAAAAAAAAAGCTTTGGAACAAAGAGCTGACAAAAAAAAAAAAAGAGCGCTGAATCTCAAAAAGACGTGACAACAAGGCTGCTCTACTGCTTACAACACCCCCACATTCCCTCTCTGCGCCATCTGCATACGACTCTGATATATTGATATCATTGATATGATTCTTATTCTGATCCTTGCTTCCTTCTTCTAGTACTACCACTACCACTTGCCAAGTGTAGTGATTGTTCTATTGCTTAATGACTGATGAAAGAGGAGAGAGATCGCTTTTCCGTCCAGACTTTTCGCTGGTCCTGTTGTTGCTTGCAGTGTGAATGAATAACCATTGAATGACTGAATAACTCTTTGACAACTCACCAACCTGCACTAACATTGCGCCGTTCCGCACCCATTGATACTCCCTCCCTTCCCCACCTCTGCCGACCTCCTCCTCCCACACCCTACAACCCCCACCCTGTACACCATCAACTACAATCCCTGATGAAACTCCTGTACGCCTGAGATGCCATCCCAGGGCTTCTGTTCCTCTGCATAAGAAACCTGTCATCCATGTCTGCAAAAGGCGCACCGCTTGCCTGCAAAGCCTGGCCAGCAACCCGACAACTTACACCTAGACACAGCATTAGAACTTCGCAGCCATGCAAGCACTAGCGGTTAATGGAAGGCCCAAAATTCGGCGTTTTTTCGCCGCATCACTACAAGCAATGTTGTCGAAACTTTTGCGAACAAACTGGCCTCCCATCAACCGCTTCTCCATGCAAGTCTTGTGTCGTATAGGTTGGATTGACGATGCTTAACATGGAAAGATCAGGGAGGGAGGTGGCGTAGGGTGGCCGACTGAGGATGTAGAGGAGAGATTCTTACCAATTGCATTGCCAAGGTCAATCTTGTACTCGATTGAATCACGGTTCCTGTACGACGAGTTTAATGGAACTCCAGAAGGCCCAGTGCGTACGACACCAATCCATACGTGGTTTGCAGGAATGACATGGGGATTCTCCAATTGGATCTGAAATGGCCTACATACAAAGTCACACAAATGCAATCAGCAATTACCACTGAAGTTGTCATTTACTTTTGGACTGAAACGATTGAGTGAAGTACATATTGTACACATGACTACACAAAGCAAGAGAGAAAAGCACAGTAGGTTTTAAAATGTGGCGATAGCCTCAATAAAGAACAGCAACCACAGAAAGTCAATAGGCTCAATAGGTTTTAGAATTTATAAAGTTTGATAAAAAGGTTAGACCACCACTAACATTTTCAAAAATATGGCCAACCCCTGCTGACATGAAAAAGAACTATGGCCGTTGTATCGCCGATCGGATTGACGAACTGGAAAACGGCGGGCCTGATGGTGACCAGGGTGGTCATAAAAGGTAGTGAGGGTTTTCAACGTAGAGAAATACAAGGGTGAAACAGGAGAGCCTTGTAGATCTCCCAAGATTCCCATCTCATTGTGCCCCAAAACCCCTAAAGTCGCAAGCCACACAATCAACCCTACCCGAACTTGACATTCAGTCAGGAATCGGGGTTTCTCGGCTGGTCCACTACCTTACTCGAGCCGATGTGCTCTCCCAACTCTCCCTTGACTGTACTTAAACCACCACTACTTCCTAAAGTTGTGCCCGTATACAAGCCACGATTTTAGGAGCGCCCAATTTCATCCGACTAGAAACGATTCTACTCTATTTTTTTCTGCGGCCGATAGCTGGGGCCAAGTACTGGTGGTTTAAGTAACTGAACAATTCAAGGAGTCGCAGATAGATGACAGGCGAAGGCTAAAGCGGCTACACATATATGCTAAGATGAGTCCAGTCCAATGAGACCACCATACATGGACCACTTGAACACGAGTCTCGCATCACACCGCACTCACATGAGACTCACAGGTGATATGAAGCCCGGACGGTTCTCAATAGCCAGCACAAAACTTGGTTGCCTTCTTCACCCACACCGGTTATAGCTGCTCAACTCAACATGCAGGGAGGTCTCTCTCTTCCTCTTCTTCTTCTTCTTCTCTCTCTCTCTCTCTCTCTCTCTCTCTCTCTCTCTCTCTCTCTCTNCCTCACAGTTCTCACTCATCTCTCTCTCTCTCTCTCTCTCTCTCTCTCTCTCTCTCTCTCTCTCTCTCTCTCTCTCTTCACTTAGGCTGCTCTCAACCTCACAGTTCTCACTCATCTCTCAGAATGTCTTCCTCTCTGTGTCTCACACACTACAGCTATGGCGCCCAGCGCCGTTGACTGCTCAGCCCTATGCTCTCTCTCACTCACTGGTCGCCACTCCAATACACAAGACCGCAGCAGCACTTCTGCGTTGGGTGCAAAACACCACGTGTCCAAGCCCAAACGCTGCTAGGTTTTTGTACTTGCTGTTCCGCCTTCCAGACTTCTGCTGGTTATGGGTTGGTTCCCTTGCCACTGTGTGCTGTTTCCAGTAAGTTCAGGGAATTCCTTGGACCTGGCTACTTGACGGAACCAATTGACACCTGACCAAACCGCAGCTGCTACCTTAGCTGCAACGCGGTGTGCATACCTGAGAAGAGACTATTGAACCCATAAGTGCTGCTTACCAGGGACTTCCCACCAAGGCCTACTTAACTAGCCTATCTAGGCATCCAAACTCCTTGTACGAATGAAAGATACTGTTCTAGAGTATTCATGAATATTGTAAGAGTGGCTGGAACCACTAATGGAACCCGGTATGGGATTTGGGACTAGGATCTGGGACTCGGGACTGGGACCTGGGACTCAAGACTGAGACCTGGGACTTGAGACTGGGACCTGGGGCTCAGGACTAAGATCTGAGACTCGGGACTGGGACCTGGGACTCAGGACTTGAGACTCTGTGAGTCCTTTTTTTCACCAAGCTGTACAAAGGCTAAATGGGTATCTACTATCTAACCAGACATGGTAGTCTGGTACATGGTTGTCCAAACCTGGTAGATTAGTCAAAGCTCAGTTAAATAGGAGCTTGACCCGTCTTTCATGTCCGTTTCGTTCACACACTTAACCGTTGATTAGGCAATATTGCACTAGCCTTGGATAGGTCAGCTCTACCCTCTTCCCCCGAATAGAACATACGGTAATTATCCCTGTCTGTAGAATGAAAGTTGCCCCAAATACAGCTTTAATGACCATACGATGTACGTTCTCTTCGGGGAAAGATGATAGAGAGAGATTGGCTTGGAGAATGACATCATCTCTCTCGTGTAGTGCCGAATGAGTTGGAGAACACTCCATAGCCAGTAGATAGAGGGGATACGTTGCGGTGGCGGGAGGAGAGGAGTCGTCCCAAGGAAGAAGAAGGAGAAGCAACGTGAACATCCTACACATTGTTCACATATTTCTAAATTTTAAACGTAGTTTTTTTCATGTTCTTGCTCTTCTTCTTCACACAATCTTGTCAGTCATTGCTATCTCAATTCCGTTGTCATCATCAGTTATAGCTTTATGAGTTCATTGAACTTACCATTCATGTGCAACTAGATTCCGAGTTTGTGAAGTTGGGTTAATTACACAAAAAGAACAACTCTTCGGTGAGAGACATCTTTGCCCTTTTCTTCTCTTATTAAAACAAGGGGACCCGCCGCGGCTCCGCCCGCGGCAGAGTTGGAAGAGGGAGGGAGAAGTGGGAGGCGAAGGTGTGGAGAAGTGAGGGATAGATGGGGAATGAGAATTGAAAGTGAGGAATGTGTCCACAGAGAATGAAGGAGAAGTCAAAGATCTGAACCCACCATGAGATAGGAATGAGCAGGTTGAGGAATGAATGAAGTATGAAATGTTGCAGCGATGAACGAACCAATTATTTGATACAATCTGTACAGAGGAATGTACAGGACAGTTTGTATCTGCCTTTTTGCGCTTGGCAGCAATTTGTGTGAGCCGTTGCACTCCTTGTAATGTTGCTGCAGCTGTTGCTGGTCTTCATGTCGGACGGCCGGAGGAGCGTGGACGTTGGAGGAAGGAAATAGCTCTTCGGACGATGTCTGCCCTGTAGATCTGGAAGGGAGGCAGTTGACATTGTGCTTCACGGTGATGGATGGCGATGAGAGCGCTGAGATATTCCCAGGTTCGGGGCGAGTGGGGAATGTTGTACATTGAGACCGTGTGGCGAGAAGCGAGTATGTCGTGGATCATTGCCGGCGCATGTGTACATCCCCATCGTTCAGCTCAGTTACGCAGCGTCAGTTGGTTAGTTGAGCCCAGGCCCTGCCTCTGATTTATCCGTATGAATCGGAGGCAGGCCCTGGGCCAGACATGGGGCAAGAACTGAAGAATGGCCTCTGGGCATTTGGATACATGTAACCACCCCAGGCCCTGTGTGAGTTTCCTGGGACAGGGCCTCAGCCACTTGAGGCCTACCGGAAGCTTCCGGGTGGAGGCCCGGGCCAGCCAGGCAGCCTACGAGTGGCAGCCACTTTCCATAAAGTAAAGGGCCTGGCTGCTGGCTGGACATTCAGGCACTTGCTGCTTATGCGCAAGCGCTGCTGCACCAGCTGCTGGAGCGAGTACCTACGCGCTCACGGGCGAGCAGGGAAGAAGCAGGCAGCCATAGCCGAGCTGGCCTGCACATTGCTGGATTGGGGAGCATTGTGGTCTTCGGGTGCATGTGGCATCTGTGTGGAGGATCGAGGCTATGAATCTCCCCCGGAGGCGGCCATGCGCGGCCGCAGCCGGGGCCGTGCCCCTGCGACTTTGCGGCCGCGTGGCAGCCAGTGGGAGGAGAGGGGGGGGGGGGGGGGG